GGAGCTTTGAGGATCTAAGGTAAATTTTAGGTATTCAGAGAGAGGCATATGCTCAGATAAGGGGTGCTATTAGGCAGGAGAGCTGGGCATAGACAGAGAATGTGGTGGAATCTATGAGTAAGAAGTTGCATTGTTTGCCCCAGATTGTACAGGAGAGAGTCATTTGGTTCCAGTTTGAGCCCTCTCGCTCCTGTTAACACTGGCTACTCGTTGTTTGTCATTTCAGCTCAAAGTTCAGGCTCTGAACTTTTGGATGGACTTGCATTCAAGTTCCAGTTTCAGAGCCCAAAAGGTCTATTTAATTTCTCACCAGCTGTGTGTGTTTGGATGAGTTATTTCATTTCTTGGAACCTTACAGTTTCCTGATCTGTGAAAAGAAACACAACGGTAGGACTTAAGGTTGTCAGGAGATTTATAACGTAGCATATAAAAGAGCTTAGAACAGTGCTGTTGCTGCTACTGTTCTTGTTATTATTCGTGAAGGGCGCAGGGGAACAAGGGAAAGTCTGGGACTATTTTGAGAGCACTGATCTCCTGGGGATAGAGAGTCTGATATGTGAAATAACAATGTCGAAAAGAAAGATTGGAAAGGTTTAAGAGTAAAGTGTGCCTAATTAAAAGTTTTACTTGGCACCAAATATGAAGCGATCAATGATAAAAATAAAGTCATTATACATTTCTCCAAAAAAGACAAGCAGAATTGCCAATAAACACATGAAAAGCTGTTCAACATCATTAATTATTAGAGAAGTGGAAATCAAAACTATTAATACAATGAAGTATCACTTCACACCAGTCAGAAGAGTCATCATCAAAAAATCTACAAACAATAAATGCTGGAGAGGGTGTGGAGAAGAGGGAACCTTCCTACACAGTTGGTGAGAATGTAAACTGATACAGCCATTACGGAGAACACTATGGCGATTCCTTAAAAAACTAGGAATAAATTTACCGTTTGACCCAGCAACCCCATTACTGGGTATATCGTCTGCCTACAATGCGGGAGACATGGGTTCAGTCCCTGGGTCGGGAAGATCTCCTGGAGAAGGAAATGGTAACCCACTTCAGTATTCTTGCCTGGAAAATCCCATGGACGGAGAAGCCTGGTAGGCTACAGTCCATGGGGTTGCAAAGAGTCGGACATGACTGAGCAACTTCACTTTCACTTTCATCCTGAGAAAACCACAATTCTAAAAGACACATGTGCCCTAATGTTCATTGCATCAAACTATTTACAATAGCCAGAATGTGGAAGCAACCTAGATTTCCATGGACAGATGAAAAGATAAATAAGATGTGGTACATATATACAATGGAATATTACTCAGCCATTAAAAAAAACAAATTTGACCCAGTATTAATAAGGTGGATGAACCTAGAGCCTGTTATACTGAATGGAGTCAGAAAGAGAAAAACAAATATCGTATATTAACGTATATATATGGAAACTAGAAAACTGGTATTGATGATCCTATTTGCAGGAAAGGAATGGAGATGAAGATGTAGAGAATGGACTTGTGGGCACAGTGGAGGATGGAGAGAGTGGGATGAATGGATAAAGTAGCATCAGCCTAAGTACACTATCATATGAAAGATGGAGAGCTAGTGAGAAGTTGCTGTATTACACAACCTGGTCTGGTGCTCTGTTATGACCCGGAGGGTTGGAAGGTTCAGGTGGGAGCGGAGATGTGTGCAGTTGTGGCTGATGTGCATTGTTGTGTGGCAGAAGCCAACGCAACATTGTAAAAATTAAAAAACAACATCAACAAAAAGTAAAGTCATTATGAAGTAGCAGAGAGGTAAGCCAGAGAAGACTGTAAGTAAACACTGGAAAAAGCTAACGACTTTGCAATGCCTTTGACTGTGTGGATCACAATAAACTGTGGAAAATTCTGAAAGAGATGGGAATACCAGATTACCTGACCTGCCTCCTGAGAAACCTGTATGCAGGTCAGGAAGCAGTAGTCAGAACTGGACATGGAACAACAGACTGGTTCCAAATAGGAAAAGGAGTATGTCAAGGCTGTATATTGTCANAAGAGTTGACTCATTGGAAAAGACCCTGATGCTGGGAGGGATTGGGGGCAGGAGGAGAAGGGGATGACAGAGGATGAGATGGTTGGATGGCATCACTGACTCAATGGATATGGGTTTGGGTAAACCCCCGGAGTTGGTGATTGACAGGGAGGCCTGGCGAGCTGCGGTTCATGGGGTGGCAAAGAGTCGACACGACTGAGCAACTGAACTGAACTGAACTGAACTGAACTGAAGGATTTTGCTGGTGGTCCACTGATTAAAACTGCAAGCTTCCACGGCTGTGGGTGCAGGTCTGATCCCTGGTCAGGGAATTAAGATCCCACACGCTGCATGCCTACAAGCTGATTTGCTTCAGTCATGTCCAACTCAGTAGCCCACCAGGCTCCTCTGTCCATGAGATTCTCCAGGCAAGAATACTGGAGTGGGTTGCCATGCCCTCCTCCAGGGGATCTTCCAGTCCCAGGGACTGAACCCGCTTCTCCTGCATGTCCCGTACTGCAGGCAGATTCTTTACCCATTGAGCCACCTGGGAAGCCCCATATGCTGTGTGTCAGGGCCAGAAAAAAGAAGAAAGGCTAAAAAAAGCGATCAATTCTAGCCATTCTCATATACTGTCTGTCTTTTTTTCCCATTAGCTGGTTATTACTACTATTTCACATGGTGGTAGTGGTGGTGTAGTCGCTAAGTTGTGTCCAACTTTTGCAGCCCCATGGACTGTATCCTGCCAGGCTCCTCTGTCCATGGGATTTTTCAGGCAAGAATACTGGAGTGGGTTGCCATTTCCTTCTCCAGGGGCTCTTCCCAACCCAGGGATTGAACCCAGGTCTCCTGAACTGCAGGCAAATTCTTTACCAACAGAGCCACAAGGGAAGACACTATCTAACATACCTAGTGCTTTAATCTAATCATCTGAACACAGGCACGTGTAATTCAGCGGTTCCCCCACATCTTTATTTTTGGAAATGAACAAACTGAAGGCTGATGCATTTCATTACATTGCCAAGTTGATAAGATTTAGCCACAATCACGATGGAAGCTGGGAGAATTTCCAGATTATAGAGCTCGTCACCAGATGCTAAGCCTCTATCAAGGAAGTGAAATTGTGTGATTGATGGCTGGAATAAATTCATGCATGAAACAGGAAATAACAAGCAGTGAACAGAAAAGAAATCTACAATTGGGAAAACAAGCAGTATTGGAGGAAATAGCAATTATATAACAGCGTATTGTCAACTGAAACAGAACAAACAGTAGGCTAATTAAAGTACTGTCTAAGTACCATTGTGTTAGTTGGAGTGTTTTATATCATTACAGAATTTTAAATTAAATTCTAACTTTAACTGCTGCCCCATTTAGTAAAATCAAGCATATCAAGCTTGTGTCTCCCCTTCTGCTGGCTCATGGTCTTGTTTTGTCTCCTGTTCTATGTCTAAATTGTGGAGAAAACTTGGACATTTTCATGCAAGTTCCACAGATGAGGACAGTGCTATCTCAGATCTGTGTTCTCATCTCTTCTGTTGTATTTTCTCTTCTGCAGAGTATCCTTCTCTGCCTGAAAAATGTATTTGATCTTGCAATTTGCAAAATAGTGGCAGGGGAGGGGAGCATTTATGAAATATGAAGCTTCAGTGGCTGACCATGAAATCTCCAATATCCACTCTTCTTTCTTGAGCCTAAGGAAAATAATCAGTGCATGAATTGAGGATTTCATTGAAAGGGTTCCATATGGAAAGAACTGGGGGACCTGAGCCAAGGAGTCTCAGAACATAACATGGAGATGGCTACCTGCTCAACTTACACTAGGTGCTAGCGCCAAATATGCGTTTAGTTGTTTTTTTAAGGCACTGCCAAGGAGGCTGCCTGTGAATGATCTCATACACTCTCGTGTATTTAATACTACTTTTACAGCGAAGATTCCTAAATTTATATCTGCTGTTATTATCCCCCACTTGACATTCAGATACCTCCTGGACATCTCCATTTAGATATCTTGGTCTTAACATATATGAAAACGAACGTGTGCTTTTTCCCCTCCAATTTTTCCTCTCCATCACCCAGTTTTCTCTGTGTCATAAATGGTACCACCAGTCACGCAGCTGCTCACATCAGAAACCTGGCAGTCGTGGTTTTTCCTTTTTCTCTCAGCTTCCACACCCATCATCAAATCCTCATCATTTAAACTCCAAAATACATCTTCACTCTGACTTCTTTCCATCTCTACTGCCACAGCTTTGGTCCTGCCCATTATTTGCTTCTTGGATTATTGCAGCAACCCCCTGACTGGCTTTTTTGTTTTCACTCAGGTCTTTCTTCAGTCTGTTTCCTACACAGTTGCAGGGTGTTTCTCTTGAAATGCAAATTAGATCATGTCATTTTTTGGCTTGAAATTCCTAATTGCCTTAACGATAGAACTGGAACCTTTTGAGAATTCCCTGGCAGTCCAGTGGTTACGACTTGGTACTTTCACAGCCTTAGATCCGGGTTCAATCCCTGGCTGGGGAGCTAAGATCCTGCAAGATGCAGGGTGTGGTCGACTCTCCCCTCCCACGCCTTCCCCCTGCAAACAAACAAACAAAAGACAACAACTGAAAACCTGGGACCTTTATTATGCTCTATAGACCTCCACATCAGTGATTTTCAAATGTAAGCATTTTAAAGAATCACTTGGAGTTAAAACACAGATCCCTAGGCCTGACCCCCAGAAAAATCTTATTCTCTGCCTGGGCCTGAGAACTGAGATTTCTAACAGACTCCCAGATGCGGCTAATTTGGCTAGTCGAGAAGCTCGCCTTGAATAGTAGTGTCCAATTAAACCTCTTCTCTTACCTCCCATTCCTTCCTTCACTATATTCCAGCCCCAATGGTTCCCTTACCCTCAATTATGCTAGACTTGCTCCAGCCTCAGGGCCTTTGAATATGCTTTCTAGGTGCCCTTATTAGCATTTATTCTATCTTTTTTCCAGTTTCCTTACTTCTCTCCTGTGGTGTGTGATCTCATGAAACACTTAATTAAAGCATCAAGGGATGAACATGTGCCACAGGAGAAGCCAGTGGAAAACACCCTCACTGGAATTTGAATTGTGAGCAGAATGATGAAAATGGCTGGAGTACTACTGCCAGGATGACAATATTGATCCCGTGGGGCAATTGGAGCCACTGGTTATTGATCTTTACAAGACTGTACTTCAGGCATCCCTTTAATCCTGTAAGTATTGTCATATTCTTCAAGTAAATTGCCTTTTTTAACTTAAATTGATAGAATTGGTTCCTGTGAAGTTTTGCTCTTTAAATTTTGACTTATGTCAGCTTTTCAGAAAGTTTCTTTGACAATTTTGTACAATATAGGTCCCTCCTTTAATTCTCAAATGATTGTTTTGCATATATTATGATAAACTTTGCAGTTTAAATATGTTAATATGGTGAATGGTACCAATCAATTTTATAATGTTATCTTAAACTCAACATTGTTTGGTCATAGTATTCATTTTTAAAGCTTTGTTAGTTTTAGTTTACTAATGTTTTATTTGGGATTTTAGCAATATTCATTCAAAGTGAGATTGGCCTATGATTTTTCTTTACCTGTATTATCTTTGTTCAGTTTATTTAATGGGGGGATTTATTTATTGTAATTTTATTTGTTTATTTTTGGCTGTGTTGGGTCTCCGTTGCTGCATGAGTTTTTCTCTAGTTGCAGTGAGCAGAGGCTACTCTCGGTTTGCGATGTGTGGGCTAATTTCAGTGGTTTCTTCCATAGAGCAGGGGCTCTAGAGTGCAGGCTTCAGTAGTTGTGGGGCACAGGCTTGGTGACCTCGTGGCATATGGACTCTTCCCAGATCAGGGATCGAACCCAGGTCTCCTGCATTGATAGGCGGATTCTCTACCACTAAGTCACGAGGGAAGCCGCTGCCCTCATTTTTAAACGATGGCTTAACTTGACACAACAAATTCTAGGTTGACAATTGTAACTATTTATTTTAGTATTTGAGGATATTATTTCACTGACTCCTGGTTTCTTGTGTGCCTGTTGAGAAGCCAGCTGCCATTCCTTTGCAGTTCATTTTTCTTTCTATTTAAGAATGTCTGTTTCTTTTTTCTTTAAATTTCCCCACAATGAACTTAGTTATGAAATTATTTTGTGCTTCTTTAGGGACATCTAGATAGGAATTGTTGTGTCATAGAAAATAATACTTTCCAGCCTTTTTAGATAATGACAGATTGTTTCCCAAAATAACTGTCTTGATTCATATTCCTGAATTCTTACATCTTTATATTACATTATGTCATCTGAATTTTTGTGTGCTTATTCTGTGATAATTTTTTTTAGCAAATGAAGGAAGACTGCTTCTCAATGACCCAACTAAGAAAGGAAAAGTTGAAATTGTATGTCAGTCATTTGCAACTCATCTTAAGGGAAACAATGACCAGATCATTTTTTAAGGCACTTAGATTTAAATAGAACTTTTCTGGGGTCTGGCTTTTCTTAAATCCTTGAAAATAAACTTATTGAAATACCTTTTAATACCTGTTTGTGTGTCTGTTCTGAACTTTTCTTCATTTATAATATTAACTTATTAATTAGCTTAGAATTTGGTAAAGAAATGGGAGGCTTTCTAATCTTTGGCTAAAAATTTGCTAAAACAATTTTCATAAGTCCTGTTTAGTACTTTTTCAAGTGTGTGTATTCCATACATATATGGATTCCTATGGATGCTTTATGGACTTCCCAGGTTGCTCAGTGGTAAAAAATCCATCTACCAAGGCAGGAGACTCGGGTTCAATCCCTGGGTGGGGAAGATCCCCTGGAGGAGGAAATGGCAAACCATTCCAGTATCCTTGCCTGGGAAATCCCTTGGACAGAGGAGCCTGGCAGGCTACAGTCCATGGGGTCACATGACTTAGCTAATGAACAACAACAGCAATGGATTCTAATTCTTCTTCCATCACAGTAATAATTTTACTTTCTTCTTTTCAAAAATCTTTTTATCTGAATCAAAAATTACTTTTTTTCTCATTCTAAATATAATAACACCTAGAGTAATTTTAATGTCTCTAGTTGGTTTTAGTGATTGAAGAAACTGCCTGCATTCTTTTCATTACTTAGGGAAAACTACTTCTAAACCATTTTAGACAATTAGATTGTTGGGTATCTTGTCTTTTTAGTTGTTGCTGTCTTACACTATATTTTGTTTAGTCGCTAAGCCATGTCTGACTCTTTGTGACCCCATGGACTGTAGCCTGAGAGGCGCCTCTGTCCACAGGATTCTCTAGGCAAGAATAGTGGTTTGCCATTTCCTTCTCCATACAGTATATTGGAGTTAGGAAATTCTACAATTTTGTATGCTGTTTGTACTTTTAGGAGGATATAAAAAATAAAAAACTGTCAAGAGTCTGAATTTTCTTTTGTCTATATAAGGAGATAATTAATGACTATTAATATCAGGTGTCACATTAACCCTTCATGCTCTAGAAAACCATAATTAAGATGTTTATCAATCTTACTGTCTTACCTACTTAAAAAAATTAGTACATTTTTTCCAATCTATTTTCTTCCAGTTTGCCTTCATTTAACACAATGGGGAGAATAAATGCTTCTGCAGGATGTAGCACAATTCATCTGCCTAATTGCAGAATAACACATTACCTTGTTTGTAACTGAAAGAACTATATCTGTTGTGATTTGAAGAGCACAATAAAGTCAGATTAAAATGTTCTGTATCCAGTGTGTCTTTATTTTTAAAAAATATTTATTTGGCTGCATTAGGCCTTAGCTGTTGTGGCAGGTGGGATCTAATTTCCTGCCCAGGGGTCAAACCCCCACCCCCGGCAAAGGGAGTGCAGTGTTTGCCACTGGGCCACCAGGGAAATCCCCCAATGTGTCTTTATTTAAGGGATGAACAAAGCTATTCTTTTTAACCTGTAAAATGTGGACATTATTATTTTTTACTTTTCTTGATGTCATGAAAGGAATCTCTGATTTAACATAAAGCCAGACTGAGATAATTTGATGAAAAAATGTTTACAGGGATATTCTAACTATACGTTTAAGTATTACACTAGCCTTCATAATAATATTCCCGATTCTGACTTTTCCTTATGACTTTCTTAAAGGCAGGACTGTTTATTAAGTATTGAATGTCTTTACAACTGATGAGAATCTAAGAATATATAGAATGTATAGTCAGAGATACACCGAAGAGGAAAGTACCTTTGATGACCTTTATTTATTTTATTGTAACTTGATTTAGACTTCTTTGTATTTTTTTTATTAATTATTTATTTTTATTAGTTGGAGGCCAACCACTTCACAATATTGTAGTGGTTCCCGTCATACATTGACATGAATCAGCCGACTTCTTTGTATTTAAATTTTGAGTGGGTAATACTCAAAAGGTACAAAAGTTGAAAGGCACAAAAGGATACACAACAGGGAGTCCTCCTGTTCCTCAGGTCTCCCCAGAGCAATCCAGGTAACAAGCTGCAGCCAAGGGTATTCCGCAGCCGCTCCAGGTGGTAACTCCCTCTCGGCCGTCCTTTTTCTAAAGTGAGGTTGAAGGAAGTGAAGCCTGTCACTGGCTCTTAAAGGCGCCTTACTTTGAAGCAGCAGCAGAGCCAGAATCTAGCTCCTGGCATTCTAGATCATAGCTCTTTGCGGTCCTTGCAGTAAGCCCACATTGCCTCTCTGCAGTGTCTAGTTGTTAACTGGCTCATCAGCGTGAATGCTGGATATTTCAATCCGGTCATTCAAGTTTAAAAGTAGCTTGGTTTAAAACCGGAGTACTTGGGGCAAGGAAGTCTTATCAGAAAGCAACATTTTTGTTGTTGTTGTTCATTAAAAGAAAGAAGGGTTTTAAAGGGCTGACCTAGGGTTTAATCACACGGTTTGACTTTTGCTGAGTCTCGGGGATGGCGCGTGTCAGACCCAAAGCGCAGACGTCAGCACGGCTTTCACTCTGGCATCGGGGGACTAGTGCTCAGCCCTAGGCCTGCTCGCTCCTCTAACAAGGCGACTGAGACTCTAAGGCGCTGGCCTTGGTTCCATCCTTCTAGATCTCGGTCTGGACGCGGTGCAGAAGGGATAAGGCCCCGTCCTGGCCTCTTCCACTGGTCGGGTGAGTGCGGCACAGGAAAGAGTCGCGACGGCTCCAGAGCAGGCCCGCCCAGGGGGAGCCCGCCAGCGGATCTCGGGCTGCTTCGGCCCAAACAGCCCGAACGGACTAGGCCAGCCAGCTCTGGCCGCTCGGTCCGATCCGCTCCTGACCCACGGCCTCCACTCCTGGGGGGACGCGGCAGGATTCCATAGCCAATCCCCTCGGCCATCCTACCCTTTTCCCCGCCAAAAGCAGATTATTCAGCCTCGCTCCACAAGCCAGCCCCACCCTGCCCTGCCCTTTCAATCCAGAGAGGAACGGTCACGAGGCCAAGAACGCGACTCCGCGCGCTAGGCATCCCTCTGAGCTGGACCAGAGCAAAGCAGCTAGACTCGGCGAGAGTGGGAAGGAGCCTTAGCGAGCAGTTCTACGGCCCAATGGCTTTCTTCTACCTTCGGGTGCGGGCCAATGAGGCGTAAGGGGCGGGACTTCCGCCTCGCCTTCGGTGTTGTCGTCCGCGCTCCGACTCGGCTGTGGGGGTCGGTGCGGAGACCCAGTCATGAAGTCGGGGTAGAGACTTCTGCAGCGACGCGGCTGGCGTGCCTGTGTGTGTCGCAGGGTCAGCTTCCAGGTAAGAGCCTCTCCTGCGTCTCGACGGCCGGACGGCAGGTTTCCCCCCGTGGGGCCTGCCGGAGAGAACACACCCCCTCGCCCGCCCTGAAGCTCCGGGGCGGCCCCGCCGCCGTGCTCTTGGCTGCTCCTCAGGCTGGGTGCGGAGGAAATTATAGTTTAGTTTTGTTTTGCAGAAGGTAGAATAGAAAACCCTGCGCTCAGAGGCCGAGTCTCCCTTGCATTCCTGCGCCATGAGTTTGTATCTAAAGTTGTTGGGTTATCTGTTTTGCTTCTTGCATTCCGCTTTTGAGGTGTCTTGAGCCTGGGGAGCTCTCCGGAAGTCGTCTCTTTCCGGGCGTCCCCGGGCGAAGTCGCTTGAATTTAGTTGTGGGAAGGCTTTAGTCTTTGGGGGAAAAAGAGGGCAGTCGCCTTTCGCTTTCTAACCTTCCTGCCACCCCCACCCCCCACCCCGGAAGCTAGATAGAAGGTGGGACGTGATTCTGCTAGGGACAGATAACCACGTCCCTGCCCCCTAAAGTTGGCAGCTCTGCCGGGACGCTTATTGAGTGGACCCGCGCTGATGAAAAGACTTTATCTCAGAGAGGGAGTGGGCAAACACCGAAGCCAGGCGATCCCAGAAGCACTCGTGCGTATTTGGTGGCAGTCACTGAGTGTTCTCTGTCAGCTTTTAGGTAAATTCCTCTGTTTTGTCCTAATCTGGCAATGGTAGATTTCCAAAACCATCGTTTCGTCTTCAGTTTCAGCACCGTGGGCAGCTGCTTAGGTTCTTTGTTGTTACCCCAAACTAGCCTGACAAGTGTTCCTCAGTGATGCTGCAGGAACAGGGAAAACTCATGCATTCCTTTCCACAATGATCTGTTGTTCTCCAAGGAGAACATCTGCAGTATTTGATACAATGTAAATAAATAAGATGGGTGTGCTGTCGGAGAGTTCTAGTTAGAGATACATCAATGCAGGGTTTAAGGAAGGGCTTTCAAGGATTTAATCTTTTTAGGGTTACATTTTAATGGGTCTATGAGATTAGCTTCATTTTGGAGTAACAAAACTGGGCTGTAGTAGCAGGTTTTTTGTTTGTTTGTTTGTTTGTTTTTTTTTTTGATTGAGCAGCCTGTGGGATCTTAGTTCCCCGACTCTGGTAGTAGTTTAAAAGAACTTTAAATAGTAGATAAGAAATGTAGTGGGCGTCTCTGGTGACTCAGTGGTAAAGAATCCGCCTGCCAATGAAGGAGTCATCGGTTCGATCCCTGGATGGGGAAGATCCCCTGGCGGAGGAAATGGCAACCCACTCCAGTATTCCTGCCTGGGAAATGCCATGGACAGAGGAGCCTGGTCGGCTACAGTCCGTGGGGTCGCAACGAGTCAGGTGAGACTGAACAACAGTAACAAAGAAGTGTAGTGCAGGGCTCGTGGGAATTTTGAAATCAATTTAGTGCATTGACATTAATGTTAGAAAAAAACAAAAAAATAGCATGGGACATCCTATGGAGTAAGAGTAAATATTATTTCATGAAACTTTTGTTTTAGGTTTAAAAAAATAATCTATGAGTGTGAAGAGGAGGGTGTAAATGTATACCGTATTATTGTGGATTGTGGCAAAACACTGGATCCCAAATTTGGGAGTCAGACTGGATTCAGCCTTCAGCTCTGCCGTTTACTAATTTTGTGACATTATCTGTGAATAAGGGAAGAATTATAAGAATTAATTGATATAAAATATGTCTGTTACATAGTTAAGCCTCAAAGTAGCTGTTTTTGTTGTTATTATTTTTTGGAAATG